AGCTTCTTTCAGCCCTTGTTGGTGCTGGGTGTGCCTCAGTCACTTGGGAAGACATGCAACCTGCTCTCCACCCTGAGACACTGGCCCGACCCAGCTGTGACCGACACTGGCCTCACTAATATGAGGGCTAGTGGGATGAGAATGGGCTCTGGGAGGAGGGGATGACAGAAAGGGGGACAGGCCCTCAGCGCCCAGCTGAGGATTTAAGAAGCTCAGGGAAGCAGGAAAAGGGGTCTTGCCCTCCGAACCTCACATGTCCACCTGGGGGGTCAGGCTCAGAAAAAGCCAGGGCTCCCTCACCAGAGGCGCTCGTCTCCCCCTCTGTGTGTGTGTGTGTGTGTGTGTCTATGTCCGTGTGTGTGTGTGTATGTGTGTTGTTTATTTCTCTCTCTGTGTGTGTGTCTCTTCTCTCTCTCAGAAAACCGAAGCTGGGCCAAGCTGGCGAGCTCTCCTTCAGGCTCTTCGCTACTCCTTTTCTTTCTTTTTGGCAACTTTTTGGAAATCCAGGCTGGCTGAGGAACAAGCGCAAGCCACAGTGGAGGCTTTCCTTTGGGTGACTCTCCTCCTACTCTTTCCCCTCCTTTTGCGACCCCCTGGATGGCTGTGGCAATGCACGAGTGGGGAGACCCTCCTCAAGTGAATGGCCACCTGCTCTGCGCATGCCTTTGGCTGAGCAGATTTAATGCAGATTTCTCACCACCTAGCAGCAGTCTTCAATGAGGCATCTTTCCCCCATATAACGACCATGCTCGGAGCAATATAGTTAGCATTACTGGAGCAGGAATGCAAACAAGGGCAGGGTTTTTTCAAATGAGGTTGCACAGAACCTGAGGTGATGGGATTCCACAAGAGACTAAGCCCGAAAGAGAGAGAGAGATACAGAGATACACACACACACACAGAGAGAGAGAGAGACAGACAGACAGACAGAGATACAGAGAGTGGGAGGGGGAGAGGGGAAGATAAAGAGGGAGAATGGGAGAGAGATACAAAGAGAGAGAGTGGGAAAGAGGGAAGATATGGAGAGGGGGAGAGAGTGATACACAGAGAGAGAGAGAGACAGAGAGGGGAGAGGGGGGGAAGATAGAGTGAGGTGGAGAGACGGGTAGGGGGAAGAGAGGGGGGGAGGGAGGGGGAGGGGGAGAGAGACAGGTAGAGAGAGAGAGGGAGGGGGGGGTTGTGGTTCCCGGTGTTTTTTAACAACCGGTTCTCTGCCCTAATGACCAGCTGGATAGGCATGTCTAAGGGGTCATGTGACTGGGTGGGAGTGAGTGATGTTGAGTTGGCCACACCCACCCAGGTTTTGTGGCTCCCTGGGTGATTTTTTTTTTCTGTGGGAAATGGGTGCACATGGCTCTTCCAAGATTGCATTCTTGGAAATGTTGATGTACCTTTTTTAAAATGCCTTTCTGTACTATGTGAGAGATCTTTCCTTTGTTCCCAGTAGAAATGTTGATAACAGAAGAGAGTAGGAAATTATTATCTGTAAAGGAAGAGTTTCTGTTGAGTAATCCTTCACTGCCACCTGCTGGCCCAACCCTAGTATTGCCACACACCAATTCTACAGAATAAGTAAAAGCACTTTAAAATATATTTATTTACCAAACAAAAATTACAAATTCGAACAAGCATAATAAAAAAAAATGTGACGGGTTCTAGGCACATTAGTGCACTTACACACTAGGGACCTTAGGAACCTCTTAAATATGGGATGAGGTCCACAGAAGTTGAGTTGGAATTAAAAGTATGAAAGTTAATAGCTGAAACAACTGCTAAATATAAGATTTTTTTAGTTTGGGAGGGGGACTCTGAAAAAAATGTAACAACAAACATTTGCCTGTTAATTTTGAAGGATTTGAAAACTTTTGTGCACCTTAACAACTGTTTAGTCATGCAGACTGATGAGTGACCTTTGAAAAGTCGCATAGGTAAAATGGGGGTAATTATCCAGATTTTCCAATGTAGGGATAAAACTATAGTTGATCATGAATAAATAAGTCTTCCTAGTCTTGGATCCTTGGAGCAAATGGAACATAGTTATGGGCAGTGGTGGGATTAAAAAAAAAAATTTCCAGTTCTGTGGCTGTGGCTTGGTGGGCGTGGCATGGCTTGGTGGGCATGGCAGAGGAAGGGTACTGCAAAATCCCATTCCCTCCCCACCCCACTAACCTGCTTTCCAGCTCCAGTCTCCTGTGCAGGGCAACAAAAGAAGACAAAGAGATCAGCTGGGACTCGGGAGGCAAAGAATAGATGGGGGCGGGACCAGTCAGAGGTGGGATTTGCTGGTTCTCTGAACTACTCAACATTTCTGCTACTGGTTCTCCAGAACTGCTCAGAACCTGCTGAATACCACCTCTGGTTATGGGGCCAGCAAAATCCAGATTCAAGACTCCATTCAACAATGGACATTCGTGGGTCTCTCTGGATGGATCCGACCAGCCTAAAGTCCAAATTACAGTAGCTTGGTGGTAGTAATGACTAACGTTTTGTCCATTTGGTCGTCCAGGCCAAGGTGCCAGTGTGCATCACTGTTGGTCAGAGATAGTCATGGATGCCTCTATTCAGTGTTGAGGGGAGCTGCTGTTTCTTTCACAACTGAGTGTCATATGTAATACAGGTCCCCATTCAGCAGCTTGTGTTCAAAAGCAGCTTGCATTCAGTCAGCTTGCCTTTGACTTGGAACAGAGGACTTCCAATATCCAACCAAATTGTTTCAACCTCCAGCTAGATTTCTTTCTTCTTTCCAACACCCCAATTTTTGGTTAGAGTTCTGAAGAACTCATGTTTTTAAGAGAAGGATGAGGGGGGACATGATAGCCTCCTAGTACTTGAGGGACTGTCACAAAGAAGAGGAGACTGACTCCTAACACTGAAAACAATTAACCTGTAAAATGTCTATGAAAATTCTCAGGTTGTCCCAAAGGTGCTTTTTCAAGAGGCAACTGGACTTTTCTGGTTTTTCTTTGAAGACGTTTTGCTTCTCATCCAAGAAGCATCTTCAGCTCTGACTGGAATAGAAGGATTTATACTCCTTGCAGAAAGCTGGTCATTTGCATCCTTTTAGAAGGTCATTGAAGCACTTGGAGCAGTGGTAGGATTCAAATTTTGTTAGTACCAGCTCTGTGGGTGTGGCTTGGTGGGCATGGCAGGGGAAAGATACTGTAAAATCTCCAGTCAGAGGTGATATTTGCCGGTTCTCCGAACTACACAAAATTTCCGCTAATGGTTCTCCAGAACTGGTCAGAACCTGCTGAATACCACCTCTGATTCCCACCCCACTCCATGGGAAGGTTACTGCAAAATCCCCATTCCCTCCTCACCCCACTAACCTGCTTTCCAGCTCCATTCTCCGGTTCAGGGCAACCAAAGAAGACCCAGCCGATCAGCCGGGACTCGGGAGGCAGAGAATAGATGGGGGCAGGGCCAGTCAGAGGTGGTATTTGCTGGTTCTCCAAACTACTCAAAATTTCCGCTACTGGTTCTCCAGAACCAGTCAGAAACTGCTGAACACTACTTCTGCTCCACACCCCACTAACCTGCCTTCCAGCTCCGTTCTCCTGTGCAGGGCAACCAAAGAAGACCCAGCCAATCAGCTGGAACTCGGGAAGCAGAGAATAGATGGGGGCAGGGCCAGTCTGAGGTGGTATTTGCCAGTTCCCCTAACTATTCAAATTTCCACTACTGGTGCTCCAGAACTGGTCAGAACCTGCTGGATACCACCTCTGACTTGGAGGGTTACCTGTGTCATCAGAGTCACCTGAGTGGTGCAATGGATGTGAAGCTTTTTTGGAACTGTTGAAAGGACTGTATTGTAAACTGGACATAGATGATGTCCTATCCCTCTCCCTCTGTTGAGAGATACAATATCACCTGTATTCATTGAACATCATCATTGATCTCCAATCTACAACACAGAAAAGAAAGTCCAGTTGCCTCTTGAAAAAGCACCTTTGGGATGACCAGTGACATGGCTTGCCTTCAGAGGTTGCTGATGCTCCATCAGTGGAGGTTTTTAATAAGAGATTGGACAGCCACATGTCTTCTGATTGAGCAGGAGGCTGGACATGAACACCTCCCAAGGTTTTTTCCAAATTATTTGTTAGATTCTGTTATGTTACTCTCTAGGGTACCAGGGGGAGAACAATGGGGGGTGGGAAGAGAGCTACAACCTAGAAGTAAAGAGACATTTTCTGAAAGCGAGAGCAATTAATAGCAATAGCACTTAGACTTATATACCACTTTCTAGTGCTTTCTAGCCCTCTCAAAGCGGTTTACAGAGTCAACCTATTGCCTCCAACAATCTGGGTCCTCATTTTACCCACCTCGGAAGGATGGAAGGCTGAGTCAACCTTGAGCCGCTCAGGATCAAACTCCTGGCAGTAGTTAGCTATAGCAATAGCACTTAGATTTATATACCACTTTCTAGTGCTTTCCAGCCCTCTCAAAGTTTACAGAGTCAACCTATTGCCCCCAACAATCTGGGACCTCATTTTACCCACCTCAGAAGAATGGAAGGCTGAGTCAACCTTGAGCCTGGTGGGATTTGATCTGTCAAATTGCAGTAGGAGTAGCTTGCAGTACTGCACTCTAACCACTGCGCTACCGAGGCTCCCTAGCTTGCTTCCTGCAACTGTGGCTTACATCACTGAAGGCTTACAAAAATAGACTTGGATATTATAAGACCTCCAGCCTTGAGCAAACTGATGGATTAGAAGACCTTTAAGATCCCTTCCAACTCTATGATTATTTTAGATAGTTTAGACCCAGGTTCACCCCTAGCCAGGCAAACTCCTTGAATGGATCTTTCTTCCTCAGTTTCATGAACTCCACAGACTGTTGTAAGAAAAGTAAGAATGTGCTAATGGGAGAAAGAGGAGATTCAACCTGAATTAATACATTGTACAATGATGAGTGCCTTAATTAATAATGATTATGTTTCAAATTCATTCTCTCTCTCTCTCTCTTTCTCTCCGCACTCTCTTCCCTTTCTCCCTTTACAGCGGTACCCATATGGAGAGCTCATAATTTCATTGGGCTTCTTCCTGGTGTTTTTTATCGAAAGCGTGGTACTCCACTGTTGCCCCCAAGCTGTTCATTCGCATGGCAACCAGGAAAATCATGAGGAACACAAGGAGCCCCCACCTTCTCACAGTTCCTTCCGGGCATTTATACTATTCCTGTCGCTGTCCTTTCATTCGGTCTTTGAAGGACTTGCCATTGGTGTGCAAAAGGAGACTACAGACACCATCCAACTTTGCCTGGCCGTGCTCATCCACAAAGCCATCATGAGCTTCAGCTTGTCTTTGAAGCTAGTGCAGAGTAGCACCAAGCTCCAATGGAGGATACTTTACCTGGTGGTCTTTGTTCTGATGTCTCCAATTGGTATCAGCATAGGCATCGGTGTGTCTCTTTCCAATGGGGATGGAAGCGGTTTGGCTCAAGCTGTCCTTGAAGGGGTGTCAGCAGGAACTTTCCTCTACATCACATTCCTGGAAATTCTTCCTTACGAGCTGGCTTCGCATGAAAGCCCTTTCACCAAGTTCCTTTTCATCAGCCTAGGCTTCTCTATCATGGCTGTCATTGCCATTTGGGCATGAAACATTGCTCATGCCAAGTAACCTGGGAAATCTGCCTCCCATCAGCCATCTTCGATACATGGACCCATTCCTGTTTGTCTTCTCTGGCATTTTGTGTCTATCCATGTTGCATATGCTATTATACTTGCCTTAAGTGCCACGACAAAAATGTAGCAAGAGGAGAAACCTATAACAAGACTTCAAGGAAGTTCAAGAGTAAACTAAGTGATCTAGATAAAAACAGTTGACAGATGAAGACATCAAATAGACTCATTTTCACTTCTGGAGGTACTGGAAGGCTATAATTCAGTTTTCTCAATTTCTTGTCCTCCATAAAATGGAAGACTATAGATTAAAATAAAAGTTAACAACAAAAACATAATGGAAGAAATAGAGTGTTCTGCAGTGGAGGTCAACAATGAAAACATTGTGTTGTGTTGTCTCAACACAAGCCCACCTTTATCTACATGTGCTGGATGGAAACACGAAAGGGGCATAGCTACAACTATCATAATTCTGAGAAACATTGATTCCTGAGAACATCTCTGCAAAGAAGTCAGTAACTACCATCTTCTTATTGCTAAGTCCATGACTTGGCTCAAAAAAATCTTTAAGGGTTGGGGATGGAATGTAAGTAACAAGTTGAATGGCCTCTTCCTTTTTTAGGAAGTCAAATAAAGAGAACTCAGGCCATTATATCTGGATTGAGGAAAGGAGAGGTAAAATGTTAATTCAATATACTTTGAAAAATAACACAAAAACATATTCTGGTAACAAAACAAATATTCATCTGTAATTAAACATAAGGACATAGCCGTGTGGATGTCCCTCTTCCAAACAAAACATCTTACTATATATCTTACACACCCATCTAGGATACTATACTACTAGGAAAAGAACTGATGCAACTGACAACTTCAAACACTAATGTATAAATTTTATTATGTGGGCTGGCATTGTTATCATAAAGAATATTCAGCCTTCCCAAACTTTGGAAGAAATAATGTTTCTTCTGTCCAATAAACCTTAGTTTGCCATATGGACCCCCATCCTTCCATTCCTTCTTTTATTTTAGCTGGCCATGTATTGTCAATCAGCACCAAGTAAGCACCCTGTCACTCATCATATCTACATCTACAACAGTATGGTTTTAATGAGTGACAATGGTTTGATATAAGGTCACTCTTAGTAAAACAAGCAGTTATAATCTGATAGCAGCAGTCTTTCACAGTTCAGGATAGAATACTATCAATTTGTCAAACACTGAATCTAATCCTTCACCATTTATTTATTAAACAATTTTATATAGCCACCCAATGCACATACCATGACTTTGGGTGGTGTGCAACTGCCTATCCCATGGCAGTAACAAAAGATTCAACTAAGCCCCTTGATTAGCCTCAAAATGGGGTACCAGGCCCACTGACAAAACCATGTCTTCAAGTATTAGCAGAAAAGCAACAAGATGGAGGTGAATCTTACCTCTGGGGTAATGATATTCAAAAGCAAGGGAGTTTGTAACCATTTGGGCCGTTGTATTTTAAGACAACTGAAGCTTCAAGATGCTCTTCAAGAATAGCCCCATGTAGAATGCATTGTAATAGTCCAGACCAGAGCTGACCAAGACATGGGTAACTGTGACAAGGGCCCATTGGTCCATGAACGGGCATAACTGATGCACAACACACAATTGTGCAAAGGCTCTCCTGGTCATGACTGCCACTTGCTTTTTGAGCAAAAGCTGCACGTCCAGGAGAACCTCCAGATTACACACTTGATCTGTCTAGGACAGTGCAATGCCAACCATGATTAAAGATAGTAATTCTGCAAGAATCAAGGAGCCCAGACCCAAAGTCATTCTGGCTTGTCAGTTTTAAGTTTTAATTTATTGCTCCCCATCCAGACCTCAAAAGTCTCAGGCATTGAGGAAGAGTAGTTGCAGCATCACTTAACTCACTTGAGACTAGGCTATTTAAATATGGCTTGGTTGATGCAGAACAGAGCAGAATTGGGACTGGGACAGAGGTTTACAGCTGAGTATCATCATGTTGATGTTTTGTCCCATGGCAGCAAATGATCTCATCCAGCAGTTTCATGTCACCATCATAGCATTTGTATGTCAAACCTATCTCAATCCATCTTTTAAAAATATGCACGTCTTCTACATCGCTAACGGTTGCAGCAGTCAGCAGCAGTCAGGAGCTGTGAGCAATAGACCAGGAACTTTGGGAACTTTGTAATTTAAATGGGAATACTAAATTATTCACATATGCCTTACAATCTCAGTTTTGTACCTATTTGAAGTGCTGTTTACTTATAGGTGCCCAGTTTTTATTATTATAAAATAACTAAAATTCTATGAATTCTAAATGATGTAAAAGTAAAGGGAAATTTCTTAAAAATATAACGATAACAAAACAAGGAATGAAAGGAAATGAATCGGAAGAGAGGAATAATATTTAAAAAGTTCCAGATAGAAAGGAAAACTGGGCTGACACAAAAAAAATGGGTAGGTAATTGGCATTGAAATGTGGGTTAGATTAGATCAGTGATGGTAATCTACTTCCCAAATGCTAAATTTCTGGAATCTTTTCTGGAAGGAGGAGGAAGAGGAACAAGTTATCTCATAGGACTCTAACCTTGCTTTGGCCATGTTCAGATTTTGCAAAAAACATAATTTCTCTAGATCTTCAGGGACTAGGGAACTTGAGGGAAAGTTATTATTTTGCCCTATAATTAAGAAAACCACTATGTTGCATTTCTTAGTCTTTGGAGGTATCAAAGCTAGAGAAAGATTACTGGGCAGAAAATAGCTAGTTACACTTTGTAAAGGCATTTCGTATTTCCTATTTAGCACAAGCTAAAAACAGTAGCAAGTCAGGAGCATTCTATGGAAATTTTAATAATTCCTCCTTTTTCTTTTAACCATCTTCAAGCTTTTGCACAGAGATTTCCTCTTAGGTCTCATTAATATATGTTGCTTGAAGTGATCACAGCTATTTTTTATGTTAGTCATGTATTTGCTGAGATGGGGCAATAGGTCGAAAGTATTGCCAGTTCAAAACTTTTTGCTTTTCTTCTTCCTTCCTGAGAATGTCAGTGAGAGTTTCAAATCCATGTGCCACCAGCCTGCTAAAGATCCAGAGGAACTGTGTGGCAACTAAGATGATATGCTTCTTGGGGCATTTATTTCAATCGTATTTAGAAATTTAAGTTTAGTAAATTTCATAAAACAGCCAAAGCAGGATTGTAAGTACCTCTTTCTTCTTTGTTCTAACACATGATATGATTCAAGAAAGCAGATAGAATCCAGGAAAAGAAGCAGATAATTCTGGTTCAGAGGTTGTAGCATTGAGTGGTTTTATCCGTTTAAAAACTTTTAGAGAGGCGGTGCTTAGAATACTCACACAAGTGGCATTTGCTTATAATTAGCTAGCAGTCTGAAAATGAATTTTTAGTGGGGGAAATGTCAGAAGATTGAATGTCTCAAACACACTCAAAGGCTACAACTCCACCCACCCCATGAATGACAGTATAGAGCTCAGTTAAAATAGGACCATTGATCTACCTGTCTTTTTCAACAAAGCAAATAGTGGGGACTTTCATAACATTTATCTGGGGGTGGGAAGCAGAATTCAGACATTTAAATAAGGGAAAGTAAAATTGTTTCCAATAACCCATTAGAAGCAGAATGTTAAATCAAGAAATTCCTTTATGAGAATGTCCAGCTTAAATCTTTCTAATAAATTTGTTCATCTGCTGATGACAATGAATGGAAAGGATTTGAAAATGTACTGTGAAAATTGAGTTCTATGTTGAGAATTAACATACATTGGTTTAGGCTTGTAGTTCTACTTGAATATTCATGTCAGTACTTTTTTGTGAGCCAAAAGTTTATTTTACATATTTGATTGAGTAATTTACTGCAGTTTTTTTTAATATACATACTCTCAGTGTTGATTACAGAAGGTTATATGTTAATAGATAGTATCCACCATCTATCTATCGTCTATTTAAAACTTTAAACATCATAGGATCTAGAAAAGGACTTCCAAAAAGCCCCTCCAACATCTTTGCCTGGATATCTTGCTAAATGTCTCATCCCAAATTATTTGAAGAGTTGTTTACCTTATTATGAAGCTGATATTAACTACATGATTAACAGCAAATTGATTGTTTTGCTATATGTGTTCTAACAAAGAGTAAAACAGATTTATCTTGTTTTTTCATTAACAAACTTGCTTTTCATATGTATCTGTAGGATAGAATCCAAAGGATAGAAGTTAGCAAGTGACAGAGTGGATTACATTCTTGTGATGAGAAAGAAACAAGATAAAATGACTGTCCATTCAGGCAGAAGAATTCTTGTTCATTTACAAGGGGTTGATATGCACTGTTCTACTCTGTTGTTAAAATAGCACCAGATTTGATATTGTGAGAATCATGTGAAAAGGACAGAGTTTCTTTAAGTAAAAATATAAAATTAAATACTAGCACAAATTGCTGAAATTACATACATTTATAATTGGTTTTGTGATGACCCAGGGTCAGGCATGAAAGCAACACAACCAGAGAACAGGTCTAACTCCCCTTTATTGCTCCAACTTTGGCTTCAAACATCCCCACATTCACTAAAAGTCAAAGCTCTCACATGCATCTTCAGAAGCCTCTGGCTGAGAAGGCAGCTGATGTCACGACGAAGCGGTGCAGATGAGCGGAGCTCTGCGATGTCCCGCTGATTTCTTCAAGCCAGAAGGCTTTACAGGGCCGAAAGTCACCCTGTAGGGGTGATGAAGGTAGAGGGGGTGCTCCATTGGTTGCAGGGAGAGCGCAGTCTCCCCGTTTGACCCTAAGAAAGCCTTTTGAACTGGCAGAAGAGAAGACAGCCATTGTGGCTGAACCGAAGCCGTGACAGCTTAAATGGAAGAGAAGAAAGAAAAGATTCTAACAGTGTGCTTGATCTGGGTAAGAAATGATTTTCTAACTTTGACCATGGAATTTCCCCTAAAACACCCCCTTTGGAAAGTGGGACTCAACTGAGGTGAATAGCAGCAACTAAGACCCGGAGCCACTGTCCAAATCTGGAAAGGAAGGGGAAAAAATTGTAGACAGAAGTAACCTTAAAAATACAGGATAGATTAGACTGGCTTGTTTTTAGCAATTTAAATTGTTTTAAAATATTGGATTATATTTTTATTGTCACTTGGATTTGAAGGTTTGAAGTTTTGAAAAATTATTGAAAATATTGAAATAATTTAAAAAATGGAGACATTTTATTCACAGCAACTGGAGACATTTTATTCACAGCAACAGTGGAGAAAAAGAGTAAGAGAAACCTACTGGCTGGGGAAGTTATAGAGTTGGAAAAAGTGAAAGAAAAAGTTAAAGTTGTTTGGACTAGGACTAGGACAGATAACTATGACAAGGAATCATACGGAGATAAATGAATTGATACATGACATATAGTTGTGAGACCAGAAAACTATGAGCAAATGACATTGAATAATGAACATGCAATCAAGTAGTAGAAAAGAAAATAGAACAGAGGAAAGGACAGGGGAAGAAATGATACAAATGATACAAAAAGATAAAAAGGAAGAGACAGCAAAAGCGTATGAAATAAAAAAAGGCAAACTACACTTTAAGAGATAAAAAAAACAGAAGAGGATGGACAGAATGACACCCCTGAAGTGAGGAAAGGATCAGTGAAAGGTATATTGAAGACTCAACAGAGTGAAGAAGCTGTAGAGATAGAGAAAATACTTAGATCAAACATGAACGATATAAAAAGATACAAGAACCCAAGGGAATGGGAGATGTGCCAAGAAGTCAATAAGAGTGGGATATGAAAACAGACAAAAGATGAGGGATAGGTGCAGCAATAGGAGTTGTTCTATTAAGAATTAGTATAGAGGTAGAAACTAGAAATGAGGAAAATAGTACTTTTTTAACTTGGGAATTACTCTATTAATGGTTAAAATATAGAAGCAGAAGTTAGAGGTTTAGAATTAAGGAGGATATGTAGATAAAGATGAAGTAAACGTAATTAAACAATGAATATTGAATAATTAGGATAAGTAAACATGATTAATAGACTTGGAAG